GAGGAGACAATAGCCGGACTGTATCAGGGGATGTGTGCCTTTCTCATGCAAATGGCTGCCTGCACTGGGAGAGCCCGTTCAAAGCCTGACCCCAGAGCTCGGCCTCTCCGGTGGAGCTGGGTGAGGGGCAGGGGTGGGGAGCACCCAGCTGGCACGGCCAGAAGCTGCCTGGGCTGCTGCAGTCCCCTTCCCCAGCGGCAGCTTTCTGCAATGCTGCAGCCTGATCCAGGAGCAGCTGGGTGGGTTGTTCTCTGCCCAGCACGTCTGTGAATTGTACAGAGATTTCGTTTTCAGTCTTAAAGGTGTGATATAAATAAAATATATTATTATTATTAACACCTTCATCATCATCTGCCCTGGCAGAGGAATGATTAATCATGAAAGCTGTTACATTCACTGGCACTTCATGTAATATTAACCAGGTCTGGAGCACTCAGGTGGGGAAAGCATGCGGTGATTGAACGTGAGCGTTCTGCTCCCACACCAGACCTCTGCTGCAGCTGCACGGAGGAATCCCTGCCCGGCCTGGGGAGGTGAGAAGGGGACTCAGAGCCATGCCTCTGCACACAGGGCCTTTGCCTCTAGTAAGCAGTCGCTCAGATAAATTTCTTTGCAAGGAAAGGCCACTTGGAGCTGTGAATTCACCTCCAGAAAGCCCAGCTTAACCTCAGGAAACGCCGAGCACGTGTGCTGGTACACAGCAGCTCCAAAGAGCTTGGGTCCCCGTCTTGGGAAGCGCTGGAGGGCCACGCAGCTGGTGAAGCTCAGTGAGGGGTGATTTGGACCCCTGGCAGCAGAGGGGATAGAGCCTCCTCGTGTCTGATGCTGGCTGAGAGGAGGTACAGGCTTCTTGCCATGCATGGGGAGAGGATACTGAGACAGCTGCACCTTGGTCCTGCTTTGACAGCTCTGTCCTCTGGACAAAGGCTTGGCTTGGCTGAACTGGCGGTGGGATTTGTCTAGCAAAGAAAACATTCTCTGTAGTCTCTAAAGGCTGCTGCTCGTCTGGCACCACTGTGCGGGGAGGTAACCCAAAGCTCTTTGGGTTTGTTGATGCAGCACTCCAGAAAGCTGGGATGAATTTCTCCTTCATTCTGTGAAGGATGTTCTTGGCTGTCCCTGCAGGAAGCAGCATGCGCCGCAGCGTTGCTGGCTCTATGGGGAGAGTTTACAGTGAGCCCTCTGAGACAAGTGCGATGCTGAAAAATTTAGGTCTTGGCAGTGCTTGTCTCTGTTTCAAGCCAGAGCTGGCTGGGGTTGCGGGAGCCCCTTGCAGAGCCGATCATGGCTCTGCATGCGTATTTGCTTTCCTGGTTTGTAATGTGCTATTGTTGGATGGAGGGTGCCCATGTGAGGAGGCTCATTGTCTCTCAGAACAGCTAATAAGGAACAAATGAAGATTAACACTATGTTGGTATAGATGAAGCAGCACATTTCAGTCCCCTGCCCAAGAGTGGCGTCTCTGAGTCACAGTGCCAGGCATTTTGAGGGGTTGCCAGCTGATAAGAAAGGGGAGCAACTCATGCCTGTATCTGCCCCAGAATTTCAGACAACAACCACGTGGATTTTATTTTTAAGCTGGTTTTTGGCTTGCTCCAATTTTCTCTCTTTAATCATGAACAGATGCACATAGGTCCTGTTTCTTGCAAACCTGGGTGCCAAGTGGGAGAGTGACTCATGCAGTAAAGGAGGGCTGGATCTGCAGACACACAAGCCTTGGGTGCGTGCGTGTTCGGAAGTGCCAGACTGTGGGTCTCTGGGGTGTCTTACTGGAATATCTGAAAGGTGTCAGGTGCTTAGAATCAATAAAACTGAAGACCTGGAGTTGAGGGAACTGAGGCTTTTGTGTTTTGGGGTTGTTTTTAATTGTCGTACTCAATGAAAAAGTAATAGATGCAAAAACTAGAAGAATAATCCCCCAAACAGAATTTCCTGATTCGGTAGTAGAGACGTCTCCAAAGAAAGCTGGAGATTACCTAAGTTTGGAGAACAGCAGCTCTCCTGCCCTGCTGGGCAGCACTGACTGTCGGTCTCCATCAGTCTCCTGGGGTGGGGCAGAGGCGTCTGCAGCCGAGGCCATGAGTGCTGGCTGTTACTCGCTGCCAGAGCAGCTGGTGAGTTGAACTACCAGCAAAAGTGCCAGGGGCTGCTCCGGTGCTTTGGAGTTGGAGCAGAAAGTTAATGAATACAAAGGCAATTTTGATCTCATTAAGAAAATGAGGCTCTTGACCTTGAGCACCCCTTCCCTCACCTCCTCCCACCAGCACAGGCGTCTTTCCTCCCATGGTTCCAGGTGGTGAGAGCACAATTCCTGGCACCGGGATGGGGATGGTGGTGGTTCTGCGGGATAACCGCGGGGCTGTGCATCGGTGTGCAGGCTCTCCGCCACCAAGGAGCTGGCTGGCTGCTGAGGGGAGCAGCAGGTTGCTATGATACAGTTTGCTGTGGCAATGTCTGTGCTGAAT